CCTACCAGGTCTCAACTCAAGGAAAACAAGGAGCAAGAACCTACCGGACCTACCGTTGCAAGAATTGTTGGCGACAATGCACCAGCACCGAAGCTTCCATCACGCATCACAGAAGTTCGCCAGAGTCTCATCAAGATCAATGCTGAAATTAATGGCAACACTATACCTGCGGTCATCGACACCGGCTCTATGATCAACATCGTGCACAAGACCATCTGGGAACAATACATCAAACGACCTCTCGACAGATCTGTTACCTTCCCGGTAAAAGATGTCAATGGCGGAACAGGACGACTAATTGGCCTGGTTGGAGAAGTACCTATCGACTGCGGAAGAGCAAGGACGATCGCCCAATTATGGGTATCGGATTCTATTGACTTCCCTCTTTTGCTAGGGCGACCTTGGACATCCTCAAATTCTGTCGATATTATCGAACGGGACGGCACCTACCTCATATTCAACTACCCGGAACACAACGTGCAACTCGAACTCAAGGTCAGTACGGACTCGGACGACAATACTAATATTTCACAGACCATGGGCCTCACTGCGGACAACGGACTTAGCGAAATCCACAAACGCGCCGGGCCGGAACGTCACCGGTGGCGTGAGAAGCCGCCACAAGACGCGCCTCACGTGCTTGCCACGCGACTACCAGTCATGGAGGAATGCGACTCTTGATCTTATCTTTCAGCAACACTGCCACCCCGACGCCCGACGACCGACACCGACACCAACACCGACAATCTAATCGACGAGATCGACGCTACTTCAAACTCGCAACTCGCCCGCGCCCAGTCAAGAGGCGACTCTACGGACCTCGACCACGACGAATGCCAACGCATTCAAGCGTACATTGACGCGGCCATCCGGTCGGGTCAAGGTACACCTCATGCCCATTCGGATTCTCCGGATCTCGCCGCCGTTACTGACCATCAGCAATTCCTTCTCAGTCTAGGAGATCCTTATCACGCCCGCCTCTTCACTCGACCACTGCGCGGCGGGGAATGGACGCCCCTCGAAGACTCGATCGCCCATCTCCCAACGGGGATGCGCAGGCTACTCGGTACGTACGGCACCTTCGAAGTAACGCTCACCACCTCAAACAATAGGCGGACGCGCGTCCTCGTCACCTTGGCGCACCCTCGAACGGCTCCCGAACACACGCCCTCGCCGGATTTGGCCCGACTCCATCAAGAACCCACCGATATAGATCACCGGCACGACCTCGACTCGCCTCATGAAGCCTCCTTCGGCAGGATCGACTCACGCGAACATCTTCATACACCCAGCCCATCCGACAACAACAATCTGCTCCATCGCTCGTCTTCCCCTCTCGATCTCCCCCATGCTTACTGCGGCAGAATCGTCGAACTCGACGATGCCGGTGAGTACATCGGCAGCACTCAAACGTTATCCGACTCGAGCATCTCTAGGCACCCGGCGCGTCCATTGCTCCCTAGGACAATAGCCGGCCGATCGCCGCCAGCGGACGCATCGATTCTCGAACCAACGATCTCTACCACCACTAGCGACACCAGCGAGCCCCCACCAGTCGAAGCCGACCATGAACGCGTCCCCGACTTGCGAACCGAAGAGACGCCCGCTACGCCTAGGTCTAGGCTTTGCGAGCGCGGACGATCGTCACCGGTACGTACCGTTGCAGAATTGTCGAGGACATCGGTGATTTACGATGTTTCCTTGAAGATTCAGTCGTTAGGTACGTGCCGGGCGAAAATTCGGAGCCGCTCGCAGCGAGACCGATGGGTAGAAACCCCGAACCTCGTATGCTCGACTCAAGACCCCAGACGACTCATCGAACACCTCAACGCAGCTGCTCTGTTTCGAGAAGAAATACACCCGCCCGACGGATCGAACGCGGTACTATACATCATCATTGCGCCCTCTCCCTATGCTAACGAACACGACGACTCTTCAGCCGACGGTAGCGGAACAAATACACCGAATCGGCGACAGGACGTACCTCCCGAAGATCCCCGCAGATGGCCGCCGTCCTTTCGACGCTCCGACCAGATGCCGCGCTCACCTCGCGAGCGGGACACGGGGTTACCACCCAGCGAACCTAGCAAGGATATTAGAAGCACGGAGGACGTGACGACGAGGTATACCCGGTACCCCATCTCACGTACTCCGCAGGCTAATCCGAGTGGCGTTCCTCTCCTTCAGCACGTTCGGTACCGCTCTGCCGAGATTGGAAGCCGTCCGTTCGCGACACGACCAAACGGAGACGAGGCGTCGACATCGCGAAACCTCGCGCACCACCCAGACAATACCGCGCTCGACTCCCGAAGGCAAGATACCCCCTTCGACTCCCGAACCAGGGCGCTGCGCAGAACGATTGGTGAGTTCGCTCCATGCCATCAGAACCAGTCGGCGCGAGGCAAGGCTTACCCAGACGCAATCCAGGCATACTCTGACTCTCGACGAGAAAGGACGGCCCCACTCGAAGGCAAGACTGTGGAATCGCCGCTTGTCAAGCTCGCTATGCTATCCTACGGCCTTCCTCGGCAACCCATACGACTCACTCACGGAACCAGCGGTCCAGGCTCCCGCGACGAGCATAAAAGCTCAGGTGAGTGCCTGCACACCCAAGTCACAAGAAACACTCGCTTACCCTTCGCTAGTCTATCAAACTGCACGCCTCACTCGAAGCCGCCCCCTATGTCTCATGCGCAACCCAAGATTCCGACGACGAACCTCACGCTCGATGCGTACCCGTCTCCGCCTCAAGAAACGACTTCTCAACTGGATTCTTCGCCCTCGACGACTCTCTCGCAATGGCCCACACCCGGCTCCAATGCGACAGTCAACGGACCGCTCGATATAGGACTCAAGAACGATATGATGTACGCTACTCGTACCCCCCTCTCTGACGCTGAACTTACAGAAATTCTTCAGTTCGGCAGAGAGGAGGGCGGCTGGACTCGCCTTCCGGACCCGATTTCCCCTTCGCCGGTGAAGATCTATGCTCCGCAGCCCCGCCCTGCTACGAACCTCGACACCTCGTCGAACACGCTACACGCCAGCTCTATTCAATTCCCGAGCACACCGCACCCACTCACCGGACGCGTCCTCGACGACGAAGACTATCGGCCCATCGTCACGGAGGCCGAAGGAACAGGCGAAGATGTCGACTTCCCTGGGTACTATCGGGCAGCCGGTTGCCTGATCCCCCTCGGCGACCCTCTATTCAGCGAGAATCGGTTAAAAGCCCCGATCCGTGCCGAATCGCCCCCGTTCTACCCAAACTCGATCCATCTCCTGATGGCCTCCGACCGCTCGTACTTCAAGACTCTCTCGGCGCCTACGACCCCCGAACCAGCTACGCCGGACGACCCTCACTCGTGCACCTATGTCATCAAGCTGGTCCCTCGCGACGACCCTCGACTTAACAGACATCCTTTTAAGCCGAGTCGACTTCCCGGCCCTGGCGAACCCGTTGCGCCGCACTGGGTCAACGAAGAAACCCCGCTTCTGTACATCAGCGAAGGCCTATTTCAGATACTTTCGGTTGGCTTTGCGCTTCGCCCGTTCCGCGATAGCGTAAGTCAATTTTCTCTTCAACTACCGACGGCCTCTAACTACAAGAACTCACAGGGCAGCCTCGAATATCGCAAGAACTTCGACGAAGCGGTGGACCGTCTCCGAGAAGATGGAATCGACCCCTACCCCAAGCTCTTAGGGTATTATCGCGAGGACGGCTACGCCATTCCTATCGGCCAACCGCCCTCGAGCGACCACCGAGTCAAGCTGCCGATCCGAGCCACGTCTCCTCCAGGATTCCCTCGCTCTATTCACGACCTCGCCATCGCGGCACCGCTGGTATTCCGACCGTTATCCGCACCTTCAACGCCCCGACCCCCTGAAAGCCAGTACCACGTTTCGAGGACGTACGTCCTCGAACTGGTACCGCATGGCGACCTCAGGCTCTGTGGCCGTATGCTCCGAAGCAGCCGGCAGCCTCTGCGCGGAGAAAACATCTCACCTCACCACACCGACGACTCGACGCCCCGCATGTACTTCGTCGAAGATGACTTCAACATTCTAGTCAGCATGACGAGAGAAGCGCAATCCGAGGCTTCTAGCATCGACTCACCGAAGAACGGCTCTCTTCCGACGACGCAAGTACAGGACGAGGAGCTTCAACAAGCTCTGCTCAACGGCGAGTTCCCCGCCCTGCCCGACGAATACTATGCCACCGCCGGATACGCGATTCCCATCGGGGAACCGCCCGACAGCCCCCTTCGAGTCAAAGTCCCTATTCGCGCCGCCTCACCACCCGATCTCCCCGGCTCAATCCACGACCTCTCGAAACAGATGCCTCGCATCTACCGCCCGCTATCTGCACCGACAACACCCGACCCGCCCGCACGCGACTATCCGACATCATGCATGTACACTCTCGAACTCGTTGACGACCGCGACCCTAGGCTCGCCGGGAAACATCTCCGAGCACTATACCGCGACTCGGACGGCTCAACTCCCGCGTCGCACTCGGTCACCGACGATATGCACCGCCTACTTTTCAGCCGCGGACTGTTCCAACTGCTGGCGCGGGTCTCGCATCAGGCCATCAGCAACCGAGCCCGCGAGCGGGTAAGCCAATCGACTTACGCTTTCACAAACTCACCGGTACTAACGTCAACTCAGGAGCTCGCGGAAATGCAAGCACGACGGCACCATCTCGACGCGCCCGATGTCGACATGGACGCCTCCGATCTTCAGGGCCCCATGCGCACCAACGCACTCGTTCTATCGCCCCCGGTCCCACCTCACCTATCGCTTCCCGATCCGCTAGTGACACCTCAACACGCACCTCTAGCCGGAAACAAGCTCTCCCGACGCCTCGACAGACTCAGGATCGCGGAAGGACCCGCAGCTGAAGACCGCCCGCCCACACCTCGACCGCCGATGGAAGGAATCGAAATCAGCATAGAGCATCGACTCCGATTCCCGCCCACGAACACCATCCTCAACGACCCCGGCATGCCATACTATCGCGCCGACGGATACTTGATTCCCATCGGCGAGTCTCCGACCAGCGCCAACCGGATCAAGATCCCGATGCGACTTCAAACGCCTCCGGGGTACCACGGTACTGTCCATGCGCTCTCGCAGGTTGACCCATCCCTCTTCCACCCGATGTCCGCGCTCCCGACTCCCGAACCAGCACCCGAAGACTATCCGCCATCGCAACGCTACCACCTCTTCCTCGACGCACCCCGGGACCCGGCCGAACGACAGTCTCCGTTCACCATCGAAAGCCCTCTGTTATCCTCTCAGGACGACCGCCCCTCGACGCAAGCATTGCAAAACTCGGACCCGTACCTCTGGTTCGACGAGGCCCTTTTCGACTACCTCCATATCACTTACCCCCTCGCCGACGGATGGAGCGACAACATCAACGATCCGGCGACATGTCTCCCCGGCCCCGAGGGAGGCGACGCACCTGAATTGCCCACCGTCGACGAAGAGACGCACCTCGCCGAATTCGATCGCCTTACTATCAACTATCCGACCTCCACCGAGCGCACAACGGTGACGCCGCCCCCGTCTATCTGGCGCAACGAGCACGATCCTAGGTATGTCTATTTACATTCGATCTTATCCCCTAGAACTCATCGCCTCGAACACACTAGCAGCGGCCCCGTACCGGCCTTTTCACGCTCAGACACGACGACTCCTGCAAGCGAGGAACGTCCTCGAACCCCCGCCGGCCATGGACGTAGCATGTTCCGGGTCATGTACGACCGGATATGCGAACTCACGGAAGCTACTCAGTTCACCGTGGCCGCGATCGCCACGCTCCTGTCAAGCCACGCCTCGTTCTATCGCACCGCCCGCTCTCAGCACGACGCCATGCAAGCGGCTCTCTCGCAAGTCCTCGAACAGGTCGCCGCCACGTCCGACGCCGTCGCCGAATGCGCTACCGACCACCGCAATTTCGTAGACCGACTCACCGGCGACATACTCGACCTCCAGCTCGACATCAACGCCATCCGCACCAATGTCGAGGCTTGGAACTGGACGCCGGAGGACGGGGACGAAGTTGACGGTGCGCTATTCCTCTTCACTGACAAACCGCCGCCTTCGCTAACCACCACTCAGTCGACCATATCCTGCGCTCCTCATCCAGCTCCAGCTCAGACATCGACATACCCGCCGCTGACTACAACGACCTCCAGCCGTGAAGACTCCGCTGCGATGATTCCTCAAGACGCTACGCACCCCCAAGCAAGCTTGCCACCATATCATTCCACCCGCACTGGCCTGCGTCGCTCCCTGACTACGAAAGACACGCGCTCGAACTCGCGATCAACGGTATGCGATACTTATTCGGACTATGTACATGTACTACTCTCCCCGGCCTCGCAAACCTGTATCCTCCGTCCCGCCAGCTCCCCGACTTCACCGCCTCGGTTATGAAAGTTACCAGTAGCGTAGAAACTTCCCCTGTTGCCCGGAAAGTCATGTATCCTATGAGTAATGATATCAAAAATGTATGGAATGACTTACCTGGAGAATTACCGGAAATCCTGAGCCTCGGACTTCGAGTTTCTGAAGCGCCACCCACCGGGCCGTCGGAGTTTGAATCTACGGAGGATGAGTGGGTCACCGCGATATGGCTCGGAGATGCGGCCGACTTACCGGAAAATGTGCGAAATCAGCCCGAAGTTATATACCTTAACTCACAAATGTTGTATTACAGCTCTAACGCAGTACAAGTAAGGGCTAAAGATGATATTGACAGCCAGGCCTATAAAGCCTCGAACGGATTGTCTAGTAACCGTGAGAAAGCAAAACCCAGGTGTCTAGGCCCTTTCCAACTCATTGGAAAATCAAAGGGCGGGTCGTATGTGATTCGGGAGCTTGATGGAACATTTGTCAGGTGTGGTGTAGCACCATTCTGGATCCTACCCTATTGGGCTAGAACGCAGGAATATGTCCCGGCAGCCGAACTGCGGGAGGATCCGTTCGAGCGAGATGATGACATGGATACCGGATCCGATGAGTTCGAAGCAGAACAGTTCCACGAAGAAGACGAGAGTGACGGAGAAGGATAAGAAGGCAGAAGAAGAAGTCTGAATATTCCACTCCGCCCATGAGAAATGCCAAGGGCATCCCTCATGTGAATCCTAGAAGGCCGAATTCGGGAAGCACGACAGCGGCCCCTGAAAGAAGCCACGACAGCCAGACAAACGGTGACCGAGCGCAGTACTCCAGACCACCGAAGAACGGTTGGTCCTACGAAAGGAAACGAAGCGCCGCAAAGCGGAAATACTTGTGGGAAAAGTAAGGAAGCCCGCACACGCAAAGTACCCGCACGCAACAGCCTGACTGCTCCCCCCATACCGCGCACGCACGAATGGGACAGTCTCCCTCTCACCTCTACGTTCGCCAACGTCCTACCATGCCATACGATGAACTTTCGTCTGGACCGAATCCGTTCCCCAGCCATGTGAACAACCCTCTACCTTCTCGACACGAGAAAGACGACCAACAATCCCTCCATAGCCGCGACCGGCTAGAGCTTCCCAGTGATGCTCAGGATTTCGATACGACCGACAGCGACACCGACTCCAGCTCCGTGACCTTTGCCGCCAACCCAGAATATTATAATCACTTAATGACCAACATCGCTCTCTGGCAACGTCGCTCTACTACGACCCCGCAGCCGGGGGACTTGTGGAGCATCCTCGACCCCGACGACCTCGCGACCATGTCATGGGACGAGTGGATCCCCCTCGTATTCGACTCCCCCTCTGACCGCAGCATGGCCGGATATGCGGGACGTGACAGCTATAGCTGGTCCAACGGTCCACCCCTCCAAACCCTCCGACCCGCTCATCTTCTTCGACGAGAGGCCCTGGATGCTGAGCCTGGTCCGGCACTCCCGGCTCCTCCGTTCCCCAACCCACTTATCCCGCGCATTTGCTGCCTGGACAACGGCAGCTTCTCGATCCTCGCCGTTCCAGTCGACGTGGAGAACCCTCTCATATGGACGCTCACGGCACCCATCCTCGGGGACGTACACATAGGCATACACATTCGTATGGAGTACGCCAGCACCTGGGTGTGCGGCACCGTTCGGTCCATATTCCGACTGCACGACGACTGCGTCACCTTCTTCGTGCATGGGATTGTCGTGTTTTCCGGACAGGTCGTCAACTCGGAGCGCGTCATGTTGCGCGTCACGCCGGAGCTCGCCCGCCTTTCGATGCGAGATTGGACAAAGCACAACGTTACCAAAACCGCCGACGTGACCATGCAAGCCGGTACGTACGTCCACTACATGCTTAAATTGACTATTGTTCTAATTTAAGATTAAAACAGACGTGTTTAGTAGCTGGGAAGGACCACGGGTGGCGATGGCAAGGGAAGAGGACGCGTAAACTCGTTATCGATCTTTTTTGTATTAGAATATACGAACGCAGTGACAGGATATGCGACGGACATTGAAAGAAAAAGGAGTATACCGCAAGTAATCTGACAAGGAGCGTCCGACACGACAATGAAACGATAACCAAGGAAAAACCGCTGAATGAAATCTATTGCTAGCATACTCCAGGCCTCGACGGCCCCACGCAGAAGGATTTAAGTTTAGCAAAGATCGTCACAGAAGGTCGAATCAATGCAACGTACCATTCCTCTCGAGTCACCAAACTGAATTATCGAAGCGTCAGATGAGCCTGAGAGAACATCCAATCACACGTGTAATGGAACCGCGCCGGAAAAGCATGCCAACTATCCTACGCTGCACGAAGCCTCGTGCAGAGCGACACTTAAGCATGGCTCG